ATCTTATTAAAAATCAGTGATAGGCTCGACCTTGGCCGCTTTATCCGGTCCTGTCCGGTCTTTAGTTTCTCATTTTGGTAGTAGAGATCGGACTTTTTTTCCCGAGCCGCGACTGGTAATCAGTCTCAAATAAACTGCACCCCGGAGAGCTTGCCCGCGGGCGAACTAGAGACTAAATATACTCTTCTTGTTTACGAACTAAATCTTCCACTATTTTTCACTTGGCCTTCAGAATGATCGTTTTTCTTACTTAAGGACATTACGGCTTTATGAGCAATTTTCCGCTGGAATGTCCCAAAAAATCGTGCTCCATTTACTTTCCAACCAGATTTTCCGGAAACGTTTTGTAAATGGTGAGCAACCACAGTTTCTATGGAAACTGTAATTGAAATCGCAATAAACCAAATTTCACCTACTAATGAAAGCATTATTGCGGCCACTTTTAATTTTAAATGCACCAAAAATGCCAAAGAAATGTGTGGAAGTTCGATCACTCCGCTGGTCAAAAGTAAAAAGAAGCTTTCGAGAGGTTTTCAAAGATTATTTCAATGTGCTCAGTATCTGCCTTATCATTGGCTAAGAGCCTACAGATAATTTTACTAATCAGCGCCACTCGAGGTTAGAGAACAATTATTAAATTCGGTTTTTGTGGCATCCGGAATAATCAAGGTCTTGATTACATTCCGGGTATCACAAAAACCTCATCAAATAATTTAATAAATTAAAACACCGCGGCAAGCACAAAATAAACTGCACATTTCGAATTAAGGAGTGTGAGTTTAATTTCTCTGTTGACGTCGTGATTCTAATCGAGTGTGTTTGTCGTCTTTAAATAGTTCTAAAACTCAATGAGCAACTTTTCCGAGAGGCAGATTTTGCTTTGGCATGTTATGGCCGAATCCAAGGCCGAATCTATCATGGCGTCATTGCATATGTTTTCTTCTATTAGTGTACAATGTTACTCTTTGAAGGTGTTTTCGGAAAAAACAATTCAATTAGCTTAATTTTAGGTTGGAAAATGGTTGATCTGAGAAATGTTTTGAAGTTTTTCATGTTGCTCTTTTCAAGAAATATTGAAAGATATTGAAACTTATGTCATACATTAAAAATAGCAAAAATTGCGAACAAGTTATGTAGCCAATTCCAGGAAGTAATTTTACCCAAGTTATAAATGTCTAATTAATCACAAGGCAAATAAATCATGTAAGATTGAATAATTTTTTTCTATTGATTTTGCGGCCCACTTAATTTTTTGGGCTTTTTGTTTGAAATCTAACATGGCGGACTACCTGATTCATAACCTGATTTGCTCATCATATGACGTCATCAAGGTACATTAACAACCCTCTTTATCTTAATTTATTTATATTTATAAAGCATTATTAAAATCCTGAAAATGTTATCAAGAAAACTTTGAAATTCTCGAATTTCCGAAGAGGCTGGGGAAGCTGTTCTGTCACCGGACAAAGATATAGTTTTCTCAGACGTACAGTTTTCACGCTGCTATGATACGCCAATTTTTTTAGTGAGGACAAAAGAATATAGATTTATACTGCGTGGTAACAAAGTTAAGCAAGAAAACGGAGAGAAATAGAGGGGAAAAAGACTACACAGACTAAACAAGTATTTGACGTTTCATTTTCTAGGTGTTTTTGCCTTGAGGATCATTCTACTGTTTTCTTTGTTTCGATCCAGATCTTCACAATATCCGGTGCTCTTCACTGGTTATCCGCTGCGTTTTTGCTTAAGTAAAATCACCCTATGCGCAAAGGGGCTGGTTAACTAGGGTAATTAAAATTACCCTAGTTAACCAGGGCCTTTGCGCATAGGGTGATTTTACTTAACCCGTGAAGTAGGTAGTAGAATACTACGCACCAACTAACTATTGTAACTAACTAACTCTGTTGTCTTGTTTCGTTTATTTGTAGCTATTTTGCACTAATTGTTACTATCTGTTTCACGGTTCAAGTAAAATCACCCTGTTTGGAGCGTGGTAAGCCTGTTACGGCCTGGTAAAGCTTGGTGAGACAGGTTTGACAGCCAGAAAAGCCTGGTTGGTTGACCCAGGTTTCCATCCTGAGCTATTTTTCTTACAGGGCATAATCCTTGCGGAGGATTGCGCGACAAGCCGGACTCAATAGCGATATTAAGCTAGCAGCCATCATTTAATTTTTGCATAAAGCAAGCAGCCATCTAAAGCATAACAATGTTTAAAATGGAAACTATTTTCCAAGGTTAGAGTAAATACTCATTAGTTTTCCCCTTGTTGTATATCAAGGATTTCTCAAAACCCAACATCTTAAAAACTGAGTCAGTTAGCCAATCAATGCAACGCCAAAAAAAACTTTAAGGTGGTAGACAGTCGATCCAATGTGAGCTGCTCCTTCCGATGTTTACTTTATAATTTTTCTACTTATAGCAATTCACGGTCTGAAATAACTTTCTAAAAGTGGAAACCACAAGCTGAGATAACCGACGCGTGAATCCCTCGTCCATTTTGTTCTTTAACGCCTGTCTGCACAAATCCTTAAAACACATAGCACCTGTTAGTTGTGAATTGAAGGCTCTGGAAAGAAGAGATAACTCTTCTGATTTGATGGAGAAGTATTTTTCCTTTTCCTTGCATTAACTACAAAATAACCGTTTTTAAAAGAAAAAATGCAGCTTTTTTGTATTATTATTTTCGTATCTTTTAAGACACCATCGGTTGTTTTGGGTTGGGGTGATAGATAATCAAATGTAACAAGTTTCAAAGCATTTTTCCCAAGGTGTTTACCTTTGATGCCAATGAAGCGTAAAGTGTTTTATTGAGAACACTCCTCCTACCTGCTTGACTATCAAAGACAGTTATCGCAACTGGTAAAAAGCGGAACAAGTTCTTTGGTTCGTTAACCTCGTCAAATTCTGTCTCTGTTCTTAAGACAAGTTTGACAGGCCTCAATTGTGGATAAAAGGACCTTTGGCGCCTTTTCATGCCAGGTTTGCGTCATCGAGGTTCTGAAGCTAAAAGATCTTCTAAATTTAGCGAGAAAGCTCACTCGATTATCATGAAAAATTCATTGATTTAAAGTAGTCCTCTTCCTGACTTTAAGTTAGAAGGGTTGACGTAATTTTACAATCTTCTTGGTTTTATGTTTCAAAACCTTCCAAAGAAAAATTTCCTCACGATGAAGAAAACCAGATTATACCGGCGTTTTGTGTAGGTAAGTAAAAGTTTTGTTGTGTTTCGCTCCAACGCAGCCCTTCCCCAGATTTATCAAGACGTGTACTTGTTGTCTAATTTAGGCAGAATTATGGTCAAAGCTGTTAAAGGACAACGAAGGTACAACTGCTTCCTAGACCATCCATCTACCAAAATGATAATTCTCTACGTAATCTATTCCACACTGCTTGTCTTCAAAAATAGTTGGCTGTACCTTTTGTCGCGAAAATCGTCGTAATCAGTCAATATTTTCCGAGCGCATGAACGACAGACGGTAGATAACACCCACTCGAAACTATAGACTAAACTACGGTATCAAATTGTGGCCGATCGCCGCCGTCAGGGTTTGTTTTCAAGTTAAGGCTGGGTATTAATTAGCCTTGCTTGTTATAGGTCCAGGACTGGCTCAATATTATCAAAGACGACTTTCATGAGTATAGCTCTAGCGTATTTGTATTTTCATTTATTTCATCATTAATTTTATCTGCGACTCTTCACTTTCGTATCAATAAAGATTTCTATTTTGAAGCAGTAATGAGGAAAAAAAGAAACAAGTAGCAGATCGATTCGACCGAGCTCTAGGCTTCTAATATCTTAAGGCAAGCTAGTTGTAGAATTCGTTGTCCCTTCATGATTCTTATTTATTTTCCAAAATGCTCTAAAGTTTTGAATGGCACCATGTTTTTCCTATATATCTTGTTTGGACGTTTAAAAATGGTTTGGACTGCAGGTGTGTAGGGTTTACTTCTTTTGACATGCAGAAACTGATCAGAGTATAACAGTTGGAGATTTTTTGAAGGAGAAAATTTTCTTAACTGCAAAACAAGTTGTCCATGTGACTTATTGTTTCTATGATGTAACTTATTTTGACCTGGTAGAAGCAATTGTAGATATTGACTTCTGTTGCTACATGAATCGTCTTTGACTTTCGGTAAAGCGGCAATTAAATACAAACTGTCTGCATAATTTATAGTGTTCTCTAAACAATGAAAGATTGATTGAAAACTGCAAGAAAAAAGAGCAGTTTTATTCTTTATAGCCTTTTTCTAGCGATTCAAAGAAGCGAAATCGGTAAAAGGGCACTATTTCTGTTTTCAAAAGGAGTGAAATTGAAGGAGAGGGGAGGGGGTGCTCTAAGAGGTCGTATAGCTCGTAGTTGAATTTTGCCTTCCTTTTTGAATGTCCAAGATAGCGGAAGCCCAATCGAAATTGTGTGCATAATTTAGAAATACCTGCATTCTCAAGTGCAATGACCATTTCCAATGATTACGTCCGGCCCATGCCAGAAGCCTAAAGTTTCCAAGTGAGCTACTGGGTTGTGAAACATTAGAAAGCTACAAAAATTTTATCCTGTTGTTAGTGCGAATGAAAGTATCGTTAAAAGTAATATATTTATGCATCTTTTTCAAGATATCAAGGTTTCTTATAAGGCTATAGCTACTTAATTATTTTACTCCTCTAAATAATTTGAAACTTATTTTTGCGTTTTTAGATAACTGAAAAGACATCCAGAGGATTTGTGGTAAAATATGGATCTACCATGGCAATTTCTTTTGTACTTGATCTTACTCAAGTCGATAGCAAGAGGTCAAAGTATGTGTGTCGATTGTGCCTTTGTAAAAGTTTGACTGTTAAACACAGCTTCCTATTCAGAGTCTTCTTATCTTCTTGTCTCAATCACCTGGAGCTAGCGCTTTTGTCTTTTCTTTTCTTTCTTTTCTTCGGTCTCGTTCAATATCATTGTCACTTGATTAAAGGAAATATGAAATGTGGTTTTAATCTGTGGGTGAGGATATGTACACTAAATCGTAACATTATGATAGTGTGACCAATAAAATGAAACTTCTTCGGTGCTTTCTTGAATAATGCAGCCGACTTTTTTTCTTTTCTTTTTTTTTTAATTTTACAGAAGATGATTGATACTGTTATAAGACCGGGAACAACCTTCTCAAAACGAACTCCCTCCGCTCTTCAGTGCTTTTTGTTTGCTTTTTATAAGCATAATACCTTTCTTTCTTTCGCTCCCGACAGCGACAGTCTTATGAAGAGCTGGCATTATTTTTGCTTTTTAATATAAATCGCCCCATGTAAGCGCATCCAAGACAGTCTTGGATTTTGGTTTCCACGCCGAGGATTTTGGATTCTTTGTTAATTAGTAGCACTTGGATTCCGGATTCCGATCGTTGGTGGTATTCCGGATTCCTTGCGCTGTATTCCACATTCCAAAGCACAGGATTCCTGATTCTACAGGAAACATTTCCCGAATAGACCTCTTTACCGATACGGCGGCCATATTGAATTAATTAGATGTAAGGAGTATTATAGGATGTCCAGGGGGCACCCGCTCAGCATTTGTGCGCGCCTTTCGGGCAAAAAGAAAACTTTACTGTATATTTCTCGGGAAAAAAGTGGTCATTTATATTACATCCAAACACGTCACAACGATCTTTTTGCCTATTACAACTTTTCTCTAGGAACACTTTAAGAAAAATTGGGCCGAAAAGCGCTCGTAAATACTGAGTGAGTATATCTGATCGTGCTCATGCCCCCTGATACTCCTTAAATCTAACTGATTCAATATGGCCGCCGTATCGGTAAAAAGGTCTATTCCGGATCCCACAAGCAAAAATTTCCCGGATTCGGGAATCCGTATTCCGTTCCATAATTATAGGCGACCATAATAAAAGGCGAATACAAAAACATGAACTTAATACTAGGAAAATCATAAAGATCGCCCGTCAAAAGCTCAATGATTGAAGGATTCCTTCTTTGTCACATATGAACTCTCTTAATCTTTAAAGTCTTCCAGATGTTTCTGATGGACCAAAAAGGCGAAAACGCGCAAGTTCTAGATACTGTTAAGCTTCCCACATGCACACATTTGGATATAAAACATGACGTCACTTTACGTGGTGGAATCAAGTCGGGGAATTTTACAAAGCTTGGTTACTTGAGAGACATGCAGACGTGTATAGACGCTTGTTGTCAAGATGAAAAATGTGATGTAGCATTTATGCCCGGTCATGTGTGCTATTCAGTGAGCTGTTTCAATGAAAAACTTTGTGAGAGTATTCCAGCCGTGCCCTCCATTGCAGCCAATAGGAGCGTAAGGATTTCTCATGTGGTCCGTGGTGGCGGAAAGGGAGATGATGTAGAACAGTTTAAGAAAACGCAGGGGATGTCAAGATACAGTAAGATAACAATTTCATACTCTAATTTTAACTTGCTTATTTATTGCTGGACGTTGATTAGTGTAACCTTCTAGACTGACAAACTGAACCTTCCGACCAGTCTAGTCTTAGTACCCAACTCGCGCCCATATTTAAATATTTAGTTTATTGAATGTTAAAAACAGGTTCAGCTCGGTAAATGCTTTCAAACGTATAGTGATTATAGGAGTGACATCACTTAGCTAAGAGAAACTAAATGGACTAAGATTAGGTTGCAGAACCTATTCAAGCCCGATAACGCCACGGTCCTCGTGCCTGTTGTGACGTATCGGTTCTTTGAAAGTTTTAGTTGACAGTCCAGATCGAGAACTACACAAAAAATATCATGCATAAAACTGTTCTGCTCAGTTTTCCAACCGGTGGAAGCCAAGAGGAGCCCAAAAAGTTGAAAGAAATTGAAAAAATAAGCGAAAGAAACAAGAAAAAATGAACGGAAAACTCCCTCTATCTTTTAAATTTCACGAACATCGGACCAATAATTTAAAACTTGAATTGCTTTCTTCACATTCTTGACCCAAAACGCTGTATATTTCCAAACATAGCTTTTACCTTGCAAACAACATGTCCCGGAGAGTCTGCAATTGGCGTCAAAATTAGTCGAGACACTTTGCCCTGAAGGGCTTTTCTGTAGTTTTACCAATTTCAAAAGGAGAGGATAAAGTTTCCCCTCCTTCGTCCCCTCCGTGCAATGTTGTGTCACTGTTCCAACTACCTGTGAGAAACAACAAACACCCCAGCTTTAAAAGGTGGGGAGAGGGGGCGGGGGTGTTATGGATTGTTTTGTTCTCTGCAATTACCCTACTTGAGTACAAATAGGGTAACTTCTTAGCGTATCAGCTATCATGAATTAATTAAAACTTGCTTATCAATTTTATTTTGTCTCTTTTCTTCCTCGCAGCTAATAAAAACAAAGATCAGTGCACACCTAGTAGAATAATCATAAATCACACTCTAAAAGGAGGGAAAACAGCTGGCGAACTCAAGGATTTAGGCCTGGTGGAAAGTGTTGAAGATTGCATCGACAAATGTTGCGATGAAAAAACCTGTGAAGTTGCATTTTTAGTCGATAAAAAGTGCCACTCTGTAGAGTGCTATGGAGATGAACTTTGTCAAATCGAACCTGTAGAAGATGACAAATTTTCGCCCACTGTTGTATATATGAACGTACGAAACGGCAAAAGAATGAAAGATAAAGGTTAGTTAATTAGTAAATAGGTTATTAATAACGTGGGTTAAGCTAGATTTTTACAGATTTATTATTTTAGTGGTGATTATTTCAGGGAAGGCAAGAGGGCAAAACAAAATAACCACAAGTTAAACAAATATCTACTGGCGTTGACCCGCTTAAAAAGGGGTCCAATAATTGCATGTCTTACAATTACCGGCATTATTGGTGTTGTACAACGCAACCTTCTTGTTAGCTTAAGGTGCTCACCAAAAGTCAGATGGCCAACCGAGAAAGTCAATGTATTTGGCTTTTTTCGACTGTTTTCGATAACAAAAACCAACATCTGGTATTCAAGAGGCTGCGCGCGGCCAAGTTAGTGGTCAGCGCGTCGGTCTCGCAATCCGGCGGTCCCGGGTTCGAGTCGCGCATTAATTGGCCACTTGCTGGAATTGTTCTCAGTCGTCCCACTTGGAGATCAAATCCTCGGCCTCGCTTGTAAATAGCTAACTTTGTTGCCTCCTGCCAGTTGGGGTTCTTACTCCTGTATTTGTTTCTAAGTATTTGAGAGGAGTGCCTCATGTAAACTAGCTGGATAAGCTTAGTGCACTTTGTATTGTAAACAAACTCATTTTATTTATGCAGTATTTATTTTTATTTAAGACTGATCTAGCTGGACAGTCCTGACTATATAATATAGCGGAATTCTCTTGTTTATGACTGGACTTGTCTGTCCGGACAGTTTATCTTTAGTTTGCTAAGAAGGAATGAGTCATATCATTGAATTCTTCCCTTCCCTTTAATTTTTCCCTTCAACAGAAACGTGTAGTTCGCCATGTGTGTCAGGAGTTTGCACGGCCAAAAACAAGTGCACATGTGATCGGGGATTTGAGGGTTCCGATTGCAACCAAACGGCTACCACAGGTAACAAATGTGAAGAGAAATTAAAGTTTTAAATTAACCCATTCACTCCAAAAAAGGCCTAGGTGAAGAAACAAAACAAAAACAAACAAACAAAGTTTAAATTTTTGGAAAATCCTAAAACCCTAATACTCCTTTTCAAAAGTTCTACCAAATATAAACGTTTTCATTGGAGTGGTAACGATTATTCAAAAGATTTTGCCCAGAAGAGAGGCAACCTTTAGAATGAAAAATCATCTCGCCATAACCTGGTTTAGAAGTGAATGGGTTAAACATCATGTGGTACAACCTCAGTGTAATAAGATTTGTGTTCGATTTATTACATTTGATTTACTTGATTCTGAAACTGAGATATGCTCTCTTATTCCCATCAGTTTGCTAAAAAACTGAAAAGCACTAGTATTTCTCAGGAGAACACTATTCTAGACGCATGCTTATTTCGGGTAGGCAAATTGGTCAGATTTCAATCCCAAATGCATTTATCCAAAATTTGCCAAGTTCAGGCCCCAGTAGTCCAAAAAGTGGATATTTTTGTGCCCCAGCGGAGGCCAGCACCTATCGTGCTGCTTTCGAGATCTTCTTATACCAAGGAGTTTACCTGCAAACTCGACTGTTCGTCGTACCTGTCTGGCTATTGCACGAGAGACCATGAAAGCAGCGATAGATGCTGGCCTCCGTTGGGCATAAAAATATATTTTATTCCCAATCAGAGACAAGCATTGGAATGAGTCGTGGAACCGTGTCGTTAAGAGTGGCATCCCGGGGGCTCCGTCGACCGTTCTTGAAAACTTTCGCCGCCGTATTTCTCGACCCGACAGACCGCCCCTGGGACTGCGAGTGTGCATCTTAACGCTGTAGCGCTTTCTTTACCAGTTGTAAGAGTTTTTTTGCAACATTTTGCAACACAATAATCAGTATTAATAACAACTCCGTTAAAAAAAATTCCCTGCAAAACACACACAGGTTGTAGTTTTGGGCTTCAGACGGTTTGGTTTGCTCAGCATAGCTAAGACCATAGCATCATCAGTTGCAAAACTGATGATAAGCTTAATAAACTAACAGGATTCTGTGGGTTCTCTGGATGTGGTGATTATGGAAAATGTTCGTTCAACGACACTTGCATTTGCGAAAAAGGATACTTTGGTCACCTGTGCAATGAAACACGTAAGTGATTAATCTATAACATATTGAGGAAGGGATCAATTGTAACAACTTCAACGGAAAATTTATTTATGCGAGTTTTTAAAAAAGGCAATATGTAGCTGTTTCCCGTTTGCCAAAACCCACAGATTTTTTACCTTCAGCTCTGTGAGAGAAGGGTCTAAAACAAAATTGTCTTTACTTCAGTTAGTGCCTTTAAGAGTACAATTCATCTTTTCGAAACTCCTCTAAAGGTTTGTTTTATTACTTTTAGTTCTTTTCTAATTTTATGGTCTACAAAATAATCTCTGTGTTGACCGATAATTTATGTCTTGTGGACTTGCCAGTCAATAAATTGTTTTACTCCCGGTCATGTTATGGACTGCAATTAAATTTTAGGAAAATACTTTACCATGTTTTTAATACATATATTTTCAAATGAAGGCTGAGTGTAGAAATCAATTTTCTGATGGATCATTTTTTTTGCTCCTCCTGTTCGGGTCAACTACTTTGAACTGCTTTGAAAAATTCAAGCCCAAGGAGTAATAGCTACACTACTTTGTTTACCTTTGTGAGAATATGTGTGGGAGAACAAAAATTCCTGTTTTGAATTATTCTCTACAGTTACCTGTAACCCACCTTGTGAACATGGAAGATGCATCGACAATACCTCAAATGCTACAAAATGTTATTGTGTAATCGGTTGGGAGGGGCAGTTCTGCAACAAGTCAAATGGAGGTGAGAGTACTCGGTCTAAACAAGCACTAGCTTACAAGAGATTAAAGTTATGGATGCTGCAGGCAATGGTTTTCACGTGCTCAGCTGATTTGCCAATTTTTGATTCAAAATTGAAATCTAAGTGAATTAATTTAAAATGTTTAGTTTAGAAAGATTCTTTTCGCTACTTAAATTTTGGTGACAGTTTTCACTTTTTTATCCCTCGCAGTTACTGCTAGAACAATGCATCTAAAAGAGGCTCACTCATGGTATATAGGCAATGGTTCTTTTTTCGACGCAAAGAGGCCACCATGGCTAAAGTAAAGCACGCCTGAAACACCCGTAACTTTAGTTCAGTTCTTTCAACCTTGGCAGGATTAGCTCAGCTAGTTAGAGCGCTTTTAGAGCGCTTGACTGCGCTCGACTCCCTAAGCTGGACTAAAACTCAGGGTCATGATATAACTTTAGAAACATAGGTAATGCGTTGGGGGCTCGGATGACCTCGTAAAATGGCAGTCCCGTCTCCAGAAGGAGAGGTAAAAATAGTTTCCTTAATTAGTACTTTTGAGCAAAATACATACACACTCGACGAAAGTGCTTTTTCTTTCAACAGATGTCATTAAAAAATTACACTTTTTCTTTTCATATACATTCGTTTTTTTTTTTTTTTTTAATTTTTTTTTTTTTATTTCATTTAGATAAAAGACTTTATTCTACTTCAGGAGGCGAAGTGTTGTTTACAAAATTGGATCAAGAGGCCGAGATGGATATAAAGGTAACAACAACAACAAAGGTCCGGGGGGGGCTGCTTTGGGAGATAAACGTAATGAGAGCAAGTGACACGTGCACCGGCCTACGGCCAGGCCAGTACCTCACGCATGCGCAAAGGCATATCACCAGGCACAAGGTAGCCATGGACAGCTGCTTCACCCTTATTAGGGCTCATCTTCATAGTACAGCTGTCAGACCTCTGTACCTTCAATGGCCTAATAAGGGCGAAACAGGTGTCCATGACTACTAGTCTTCCCAGGTGGTATGGCTGTGTGCATGCGACCAGGCCCATGGGTTGGTGTTCTTGTGTCACTTGCTCTTGTTGCACTTACTTGGGAGATTAACAAATTCTTCTGGTTAGGGCTGAATCGATTATTTTTTATTAGTAATGTTGCCGAAATGGTGTCCCACTGATTTTAAACATGAATACCTCGCAGGAAAATAATAAGGATGCGCGAGGTAGATTTATAAGCATAAAAGGTTTACTTGCTATGGCATTATTTGCAATCGCTGCAAAAATGTGACCACCGAAGAGACTATATAAGGCTTATTAAGGCTCTTGCCAGTACACAGCAAAAGTAAACCCAGTTTTCCTCTGCCCCCTCTACCTTGGTCATCATATCGTCTCAGCTAATTGATTCTCGGTTTTAGCCAGAGAGGGCAATCCATGCCAATTCAGTTATTTTATGTTCATTTCTCTTTTTAAAGTAAGCGGTTTTGTACAATTACTGAAAGCGCTATATGGATTGAGACTAGTAGACTTAATGTACGGTAAAACGGGCAACTTTTGCGCGTTTTAATACCCAAGAATCAAACCAGTTTTACAACAAATCAGGTTGCTTCGGGTTGCGAAAAGTTGTTACAGAAAGGAGAGGGTAGTTCTAGTTTTTGTGTGGATCCAACGCAAACTTGTTTTCCAGCAGGTGACGTAACTCCCGTGTACGGTGTGACTCTCGCGTTGTTTTATCCAATCAGAACTCAGTTTCATGCAACTTGCAGCAACCTGATGTGTTCCAAAACATGTTTCCCGGTGGGTGGTCAAACGCACCAACATTGCTTACAAACTTGTTTTGTACGGTTTTTGTTACCCGTTTTCCCGCAGCTTTAGACATGGTTAGTTACTAGTACGACACAATAACAAGGGGTAATCTCTGGCTCTCTTTTTTCATTTCAGATTCATCAGATACCTTCCAAAGGAGCGGAGTCCATTTCAGCACTTGCTGTGGCCATCGGTTGTGGTGTGGCAGCAGCAGTCGTGGGAACAGCCACTGTCGCATTTATCGCGAAAAAAATACTGGGTAAAAAATCTACAACTTACGAGTTGCTAAGAACACCTATAAGACATAAGACATGAAAAAAAATGTATAATATATTCACCATCAGTATCACAGCTATTTCTTAGTATTGATACAAGGTGAGCAAGGAAGGAATTTAGGAATTATAGTGTTTTCTTTGGTAGGCTGACTGCAGCACTTCGTTTAGTTGTCTAAGTGGTACAAATTTTTTATTCAAATAGTAACTTAAAGGAGCTGTGTCACGAAATTGAGCCAGATTTGGAAATTACAAAATGCCCGTTAAATTAAGATAAACACAAAAATAACGGCTTAAAACTTTAAAGAAAGGTTAAAATAACATAACAGAAACAACAGATGCCATGGATTGAAACGGATTGAAATTATTATAGGGTTTTTGACAACTGTTCAGTCTAACAGTTTTTCAAAGTTGATCCCTGCTGCTTGAAACTTCGAAAATAATTCTCAGGAGGCATATTTGTTTGTCTTGGATCTCTGATTTTGTCATTTGCCTGTAATTTCTTTGCTTACTTTAAGTTCCATAGTGATTGAGGGTGAGTGATTGGCAAAATTAAACAAAATGAACTGGACTGCCGTGACACAGCCCCTTTAAAGTTAAGTAAAAATTTTTATTCATAAAATCATAAGCAAGACAACCTAGTGTAACTGTGGACTGGAAGCTCTACTTCCTTTATGCTTTGCTGTTATGATATTTAAAAGATTAATCGTCAGTAGATTAACAAGTCCAGCTCTAAAAAAAGAAACAATATATACTCCAATTTGGCGTTGCCGCGAAGTGTGACGTCATTGAAGTGGCCATAGCCTTATGCTTCACTAAGAGTAAACAGACAAAATCATTTTTGTAAAAAAATTTATAAAAGGAAACAAAAAAGATGAAGGCATCAACAGATAGTTAAAAAATGATATAATTAAAATCTTGAATTCGCATTTGGCTGCTACGGGGACCTGTGACGTCATTGAAGATGTCCTCCATTAAAAAATTTCAAATCTATGAAAATAATGGTCAACGTCTCTCAGGCGGCTTGAGGTATATAATATGCCTTGATTGGACCTTTTGCAAGATAGTACTGTTTTATACCTTTTTGCCCAAGAAAGGGCGACTTAACTTTCATTTTTGATTAAAATATAGTTACGTCGGTGATGTCGTGATATCTCGTTACCATAAAACACGACTGCCACCGTACTTTGTCAAATCCAGGTCAAAACCTTTTAGACAGTATTCAAGAAAACTCTTAGGGGTGCCCATCCCCTTTTTTACAGAAGTTAAATTGCACGTCATAAAGTGTTGAAAGAAACACTTTTTTAAGGAAATTTAAGGCCTTGGTTGTCATGGAAGCGACTACAATTAGCACCGTACTTATAAAACAAAATTCAAAACAGCAATTTCACCAGCTACCTAGGAGTACAGCAAAATGGTGCTTATATCAGGTTCAATCTCGTTTTGTTGTTGGTCCGGCCAAAGATTATTAAAGTCAACAAAAAGCTGGCTTTCCACGTAATTTGTTTAAAACAAGCAGTTACACTAGTTGATCTTACAATGATTTTTAACACCTCTGCCTTTCGATTACTGTGGAACGATAAGCTAGTGGAGGCAAGTAGGTCTATAATTAAAAGCTATCTTTACGGCCAATTGTATATAAATATAAATTCTATGCTTGTAAGCAGTGTAAAAATGTTTATTAAATAAAAGACACGATTAAATCGGCATTCGTTGTTCTTGCTATTCTTACTATAGAAGGCGACAAGTTTCCATGGCAACCAAAGCTGCTTCAGAAAGCTTAACTCAGTTTGGTTATTTTTAGTTATAAACAAGGCGAGGAATTATTGGATATCTAATGACAGTATTTGAAAGTATTTATCACAACGATTTCAAAACTAAACCTCCGGTTGAGTACATCTACTCAAGGGACATGGCGTTTCAAAATTCCTAATTATATTTTGAGAGGGATTACTTTGGAGACAGTGCCTGACACGGAAATTGCCTTCCCTTTATCTTCTCGTCTAGCAAATCCTCAGTTTCCATTTTTTTTCCCTGGACACGAACCTTCAATTATCCCTCAATGTCAAAATAAAATAGGTCCTAAAAACCAATGCACGCATTGATTTAAATTAAACGCAATGCATCCCATAAGCAAAGGCTAATCTAAGATGGTCAGTAGATTGAAAAAATCAGTTCTTGATTTTCGCTCGGGGCTACCAGCTAGCTTAAGCAACGAGAACGGCTGTCTTCCTGAACGTTAGGAATGGTAAACCGGAAGTTTAATTTTTCGATTGTAATACAGTGGAACCTTTATTCAAGGCACACCCTGGGACCAAGGGCCTGCATGAATGGAGGTTGGGATGGGGTTTGTTAATAATTAACCAACAAGTAAAATAATTTCTTTTTTTCTGCCTCGGAATCTGCTGCAGTCATTATTCCATGAAGCAAGATAACGTATGAAAAGTCATGGTTAACTTATCTCTGCGATGTTGTATGTTTAATCCCCACAAGTGCAGTGCATTGATTTAAGTGAGACAGTTCATGTCTTGAAAGCTGTCGCCATTGTGACTCGTCAACACTAAAAGCTTATCAACGATTTTTGTGGTCAGTCACTTTTTGAGGGCTAAGGTGTCCTCTGAATGGAATTTAAACAGGTTTTCGGGCCCCAGAACATGAAAGTGTCTCTTCAATAGAGCTAACAAATACAAAGATTATGAGAACTTTTTTCGGGTCTGTATTTTGCGTCCCCTGTATGGAGGTGTCCCAAGGGAAAGGTTCCACTGCACGACGTTATAGGGTGACATCATCGATTGAGAAAGAAATGATTAACTTCCGGATGTTCTTTTCTTAAGCAAGGGAAGCCGACATTTTCGTTGCAGCGTGCACTACATCCCCATAAGCTCAAGTTTAACATTTTAGCGTACTTTGTGACTGCTCTGGTCCTGAACAACCAATATATCACGTGAATTTTTCTAACTTTTTTACAATTTGATACAAAGTCATCGTGTGTTGTAAGGGAAATATATCAGCAGTCTGATATAAAAACGGCTTGCAGCCCAGCATTTGTTTTTTCACGATGTGCTAATAACCCATTGCTCATTACGTGTAACTTTGCTTATGTAGAGCACCCAGATGGATGGAGAGCTATAAGGTAGAAAATGACCAGCCTCGTTCCCAGGCCAGTTCGCGCTGTCCAAGTAACCAGTGAAGGCTAGGAACCGAATTTTCCCGACAAGCTTGACAGGTGACGTCACATCCAAAATCGCTGGAAGACTGGGAACAAGGCTTTAAAGTGACAGCTCAGCACAGGAAGTTTGGGAACTAAACGAAAACTAAAACAGCAAAAGGGAGCCCATTCCCTGCCAGCTCACTGCCAACTCTTCCCAGGGAGAAAACGCTGTTCACCAAAGAATTCGTCTACCTATAGTGGAACCAGAAAGAGTCCGCTTAAAAGGCGCTCTTCCTCTGTTTATTTAGTCTCTGTAAAGACCCTTTTCTATTGAATTCACTTTCAGAGATGCGTATATGAGTAAGTCCTTACCGTGACACAGTAAAGGAGATTGGTTCGCAAATTGAGGTGGTCATATTCCACGGTTTCCGAAGGCCTGGATAAGACCACAGCATACCTTATCGACCATCAATTTATTTCGAAAAGTAAAGAGTACAGTTGCTCATGTAGAAGAAGATATAAAAATGTTTTAAGGGCGTACTATACTGACGTCTCTGTACCTCTAATCCTTTAAGCCTTAACGGATCAGAATTCAACTTCTCATTTGTTGTCCCCATATGTTTTCTATAGAATTAGTGGGTAGAACTTACTGAAGAGTCAATTAGATTCATCTTCTGTGATCATGTCGTTAATTCTCATCACTAATCTGTTTTATGAAGCGGTGATACAAGAATTTTGACGCTGATTACTCTCTGGAGTAGAGTGTTATTGTGATCAAAATTTTGGCTGCCCTATTCTTTTCAGATTTCGAAAGTAGAAGTAATAAATAATTTCCTCGCCAAATTTCAAGTCAAAATTCGAATGATAAGACCACTTATTTTAAACGTAAAGCTCAGGTTTGCCTTGCCGCCATTACTCGATTGAAGAAGTGGCTGTGAGCCACATAAAGATCTGGAACTAGTTGGAGAAAGAGGCATGTGACGTCAGACTCGTATCATTGCTCGCAGGCGGAATACATGTATACTGACAAGCATTTTAGAAGTGACTCGGGCTAAAAGCATTTCAAATTAATATAAAAGGAAAAAACAACTGCGATGCAATTACGCCCTTACAAAGTTTTAGTAACAGAAGTTAAGTCAATTCAGGGGGCAAACATTACTGAGACATTACGCTATGATTTGTAGAAAACTCCCTTGTCAAAATATCACCGTGTAATACTGTATAGGAGAAGGTTTGGTGGTTGGTTTTGGCGAAATTCTTACAAAGCAAGAAGATAAAAAATAGTTATCAATCTCTAATGAATAGACTAAGCGAAGCGACATTCTGGAACCGGTTAATTCAGAAAGTGATAAATACATGATCATTTTATGAAATTATACTGTGAAAATAATTTCGTTTATCAAGTAATAGCTTGCGGCATTTACTAGCTACAGAGAACCTTCAATAAACTATGGAATCTTTCATAAAATTTCAATCAAAAGTTAACGCCAGTTTGCAAGGTAATTTCAAGCTGACCATTAGAAAACATATAGCCACTAAAAATAACCAATAGATAAAACCAAAATAGGTTCCCTAGCGGTTTTAAGACCAATAGAAAACAGCCTGGGGTGTTGGGTTGTTCTCTGTGGACCATTGGTGATTAAATAAATTGCCTTTTTACCAAGAATGTCAATAACATTAAATTTTAGTGCTTTTACATTTGACAAATTGCATTCAGACCAAATGATACAATAAATGATACCCAATAGTTAAGGCCTTGTGAGCCCTGTTTTTATCATATGGTCGGTGATTACTTTTAGCAGAAAACTCCTTTAAAGTATATTTTGTAAACATGATTTTCAATTTAATTGGTTTTGCAAACTGTTAAAAAGGCTATTTTTACTCTGTCAAAC